TCCCCTGGGGAGGCAGGAGGATATTGGCCTAGAGCAGGGGAAATTGGCCTTGGACAAGAGGCAAGACCCTGGAGAGGCTGGGAGGGGTGTAACTGTAGTGAATGCATGAGAAGATTTGGGGTGCCCCTGCTGTTGCAGAATGTTTTCTTGGCCTAGGATGTGACCTGTGGGCAGAGGGCGATTCTGGATGTGGATTTGGGGTAGCTGCCTGGAGAGTACTGGATTGGGAGCCGTGGGCATGGGATGGCTGGGGTGGGAGCCCCACCTTGCACGCCCCAGGGCTGGTAGGAATGGTGGGGTGGGCTTGGCCTAAGCTGTGGGAGGCTGCTCCTGGGCGTGAGGCTGGTCCTGTGACCCACCAAACCTCAGCCTCCAGGAAGGAGGCTAAAAATAAGGTTGTGGTGAAGAAGGGAGGGGGTGTGTGGGCCCAAGCCAGGCTGGAGCCCAGAGGAAAATCTGAGGCAACTGGCCGAGCGGCCGTGACACACGCGTCCCGTGCCAGTGGCCAGCGGGATATCACCCTCCTGCGGCCACAGTCCCTTCCAGGCCAGGAAGAGGGAAAACAAGCCCAGGAAGGCTCAGGCAGTGCCTGACCTAGGGCCTCACGACCTGCCTGAAGTCCTGCTCCCTATGACGGTTTCTCTAACCTTCTGCCTGCAGCTCAGGCCCTGGAGCAAGGCTGGGCTCTGGGGGGACATCCAATGCTTCCTGTGTCCTGGAGTCTAGACCCCATCCAGGCCTTCCCAGGAGTTCCAAGGGGCCTTGGATGCCCCACTGGATATGGAGAAGCATCTCTCCCCCGTACAGGAGCTCTGTGTGGTAGAGGAAGTCAAAGGAGGCTTCCTGGAGGCAGAGGCAAAAGCTGGGCCTAGAAGTCACTGTTGAGTCAGATGGCTGGGATGTGCTGTGAGGAGGAAATGAGTGTTTTGATTTGCTGTGGACGTGTGATGTCTTCATGGCAACCATCCTGATATGGCCCCTCCCAGACAGAGAGCCTGCTGCTACTGCAGGCCCACGTGCCTCCTCTGAACTGTGGATGGGAACCCTCAGTGCAGGGGGCCAGCGAGGAGTTTCTACCCACCTACCACCTCCTATTCCACCCAACACCTAACTTATGACCATCTTGTCCTGGGTGATGGAGTCCTTGGGTGGCACAATCGGTTAAGTGCTCGACTACTAGTTGAAAGGTTAGTGGTTCAAACCCACCCAGAGATGTCTTGGAAGAAAGGCCTGGCGATCTGCTTCCAAAAACCTTATGGAGTGTAAGTCTGCCCTGCACACATGGAGTCACATGGGGTCACCATAAGTTGAAATTGACTCAACGGCAACTGGCTTGGCTTGGTTCTGGTTTCTGGAGATGATGTGCCACGGCCCTGCCCTCAAGGGGCTCATAATACAATGGGGGACGAGTGGACACTCACCCATGCGTCTACACATATACCTCACAGTCACTGAGGGCCAGATGTGTGACAGGCTGGGGGACAAGTGTGAACTATGCAGAGGCAGCGTGGTGGAAGAACAAGCTTTGGTTTCAGGCAATAGGCTTGAGTTCAAATCCCACCCCAGACATCTTATGTGCTGTATGACAAGTTTTTTCACTTCTTGGTGCCTCGGTTTCCTCAAATGTTAAATAGGTTTGATAATTATAAATACCAGCATTCTTAGTAGGTTAGAGCCTCACACAGTGCCTGGAACTTAGCAGGAACCAGTAACTCATGGCTCATAACTCCAGCCACAGTGGGCCCAAGGAGCCCGTATCTGTGACCCCATGTGTCTTCCCTGTAGAACTAATCAATCCTGGAGTGACAAGTGCTAAAAGAAGGCTAGACAAGGGAGAGTCGGGGCAGCTAACTTACTGGGAGTGATGGGGTGGGGGGAGAAATCAGGGAAGACTTCCCAGAAGAGGAGGCATCTGGACTCGTCTTGAAGGACTGATAGGAACTAGCACAGCTGACAAGGTTATGGCTGGGGAGAAGAAGAAGTGTGTGGAGTTGGGGGACCACAAGTAGTTTGGGGTGATTGCTGTGAGGGGTAGAGGGGTAGTATCCTGAGAATTGAGGCTACAGGGCGGGGTTGGCAGGGGCAGACCCTGCAGCCCTGTGTCCTGGTAAAAGCCTGGACCTTATCCTGAGGCACTGGGGAGCCACAGTTGACAGTGACAAAGTGAGAGAGGGGTATGTTCAGATCTACACATTAGGAAAGGAAGCAGAGGCCCTGACCAGGGTGTATCCAGGCTTGGGAGTGGGCTGTGGGGTGGGGAGGTGAGTGTAGGTGGCTCTCTAAGGTCGGATTCAACCGTGCCACTTGCGCTGGGCCTCTGAGGCGGGGACAGGGCACCTAGGAGGTCCCACTTGGTGGCTCCATCATCCACAGGCCCTGGGACCAGCTCCTACTTCTGCCTTCAAGGCAAAACCACAGCCCGCCTTAGTTATTAAGTCATTAACTGGGCCTCACACGGCCTCCTCATTACTAGTAATTATGGTAAATCCACGCTGGGTATTAACAAGGGGGAGGCCCGCTCCTCTTGGCAGTGGAGCTTCTAGGACACTGGCTGGCTCTGACCTAGTGTCCTGGGAAACCGCTCAGCACCCAAGCCCTAGGGTCTGGCGGATCAGAAACACTGCAGCCCCCCCTCTGTCTATGCTCAGCCCCAGCCACCAGATTTGACTCTCATGCAGTGCTTGGAGAGTCCACGTCCGCATTGTGTGACTTTGCACACACAGCTTAGCCTTCGGTGCTTCAGTTTCCTTATCTGGCAAGTGACGTAATAGTACCAGTCTCATAGGGTTGTGTGAGGATTGAACCAGTAAATCATTTATTGCTAATAAATGCGAACGATCATCATTTTTAATGTCATCATGTAGAAATGGTGTGGCGGGGGTATCAGAGGTCCTTTAACTTCACGAAGGGGAGAGACAATACCATCAGCATCAGCCCAAAGCTGATTCCTGTGAGGTGGAGGTCTGACATACCTCCTGTCTCCAACCGTTTTACTAATTCTGACACCAGTCGTCCCTCCCACAGCACTCTCTACTTCTCTACTGGGTTCAACAATTCATTGCAATGGCCACACAGAACTCACAGACAATACTCACAAATATGGGGTTTATTAGAAAAGCAACAGGTTACAATTCAGGATCAGGAACAACTCAGGACACAGCTCTTCAGTCAGGACAGCTTCTCACCGGTCCCCACAGGCAGACCTCTCCCTGGCCCTTGGCCCCTCAGTCTCTTGCCCCTTTGGCCTCTTAGGCTGGCCTGGCCTCTGCCTCGCTGGGGCAAGTCTTACAAAGCTCTTTAACTCCACCAATGAGTGCCCAGAGGCACTGCACGCTACCAGTAAGCCTTCTGCTAGAAGGCACTCAACTCTCTCGCTCCATGGGTCAGCAAGCCTAGCTCTGCCAAGTGCCCGGAGGCACCTCATTCTGCCAGCAAGCCTCCTGCTCGAAGGCACTCAGCTTTCTCACTCCAAGGGCTGGGAAGCCCACCATGCTGTCTCCTGGTTTTGCTGCTGCCAGTTCTCTGCCGAGCTTGCCACTGCTTCTTGCCATCTTGTGCCATCTCTGGTGTTATAGCTTTCTGTCTCCTGGGTCTAGGAGGTTCTCAGTGCAGGGACCCCAGATCCAAAGGATGCACTGCACTCCCAGCTCTTCTTTCTTGGTGGTAGTGAGGTCCCCCCTCTGCTCTGGAATTGGCTCTCTTTTAAGCCTGATGGGATGGCAAAACTGACCAATCCCCTCGTTAGGGTTCTGTACACCTTATTTGCCTGGTCCTACCCCTATAAGGTGCCAGGCACCTTATTTGCATTATTAGCGAGCTGTCCAATCCTCTTGCTGGGTCACAAGTACCTTATTTTCATAGTGTCACCCAAACTTTTGGTGGGAGTTACAAGACCATGGCGAGAAAGGCCATATAAAAGCCACATCATCATCATCATCATCATCATCATCATCATGAAGAGCCCTGGGAGTCCCCTGAGGGAAGGGCCCAGGTCCCTTCTTCCTCTGTCCCCTGCATGGGGTGCTCCTGAGGGCAGGCCCCCTCCTTTCTCCCCTCTCTCTTCTCAGTGCAGATGTTCTGTAGTCAGGGGGCTCTGGTCTGTGGCATAGCCTCCTGCTGTCCTCAGAGATAAGCCTGAGATGGGGCCCCTGGGGCCTGAGGGACTGGGGGGGGTGGTTCCTTAGGAGCCCTGGGTGAGTGCTACCAGAGGCGGGAGGGGTCCCAGAGGCTGGTCAACCCTCCATACATACAGCCAGGGCTCTGCCTGTCCATCCTCAGTTTCCCCCTTGACATGGCCCTATGAGAGAGCAGAGGTAGCTGAGACTTGTGGGCAGGGCAGGCACAGCCTCAAGGGATTCCCCCCCAGGAAAGCAGGACTGGAGCTTCCTGCTTTCCTCTGCATCTTGGGACTGGCGTCTGAAAACTGGGGTCCAGGTTATAATCCCAGGACAGCTGGGTGGGGGCTTGTGTGCGTGTGGGTGCTTGTACACACGTGCAGGTGAGTGGCATGGGTGTGGCCTGCAAGCCACCTGGCTCCCCCTGCCAGAGGGCTGCCTCCAGCTTTCAGGGGCTTCGCGCTTCACCTGTTCCCTCTCTGGGCTATGGGCTTTGTGCTTCCCCCTGAGGGTCCTAGCACCCAGCCTGGAGTGGGCTGCAGATGGGTAAGAGGCCCAGGCTGACAGATAGAAGGCTTGGCTGTGTGACCAAGAAGGAGCCTTGCTTATGTCTGAGCCTTGCCCCTGCAGTGGCCGAGTGAAGGGTGGGATGCTCTCCCCAGGGTGAGCGTGGGAGGCCTCAGCGGAGGCAGTGGAAGCTTGGCCTTGAAGGTCCCTAAGGGGCTCTGGATGGGCTGGGCAGGGTGGAGGTCACAGCTGGGCTGGGGGCTCCATAGATGGGTGGGTGGGAAGGCTGGGCTGGGACTGCGTCACTTAGATGGGGTGGGTAATGGGGGCCACCCAGGGTCAGACGTTGCCAATAAGTACCCTCTGTCTCCTTCCCAGGTGTCCTTTTGGACATCCAGCAGCACTTCGGGGTCAAGGACCGAGGCGCCGGCCTGCTGCAGTCAGGTGAGGCCCACCTCCCCTCCCGGGTCCCAGCTTCTCGGGCCTGCTTCCCATTCTTGGTCCACTTCTCTGAGCCTGTTTCCTTCCTCATGTAACGAGATGAATAGCACCTGCCCCGAGGGGCTATGGGAGATGAGCAAGAGTGCAGGCCAAGGGCCCAGGCTCCTGGAGGTGGCCCTTCATTTGGGGAGGCTGGTGAAGGGAGCTCCTTAAGTCACTCAGTTGGGCAGTGCCAACAGAGCCCAGTGACTCTCTCTTACATACCCGCCTCCATCGCTGTCAACCCTGGGAATCACCCCTTCAGTGATAAAGCAGAACGTTCTAACTGGTCAGCCCCAGCGTGGTTCTCAAACCCGGGGTCAGGAGTCTGAGAACCTGGGTCCTGGGCTAGATCTAGGCCTGGGGTTCCCTGCCCCCTTTCCCCCAGGGGCCTCAGCCTTGTGAGCTGCCTGCTAGGCTGCATGGCCACCTGAGGCAGGGCCTGAACTCTCCTGGACTGTGAGCTGGGCCCGGGCAGTGTGGTGGGTCATTAAGCGGTTATCCTAGCCTATCAGCACAGGTCACCCCTCACTCAGGGGACCGTGTCTCCCTTGTCTCATCCTACCCACCACATGGCCCATGGTCCCGAGCTCCTGGCTCCCTGGCCTTCCCTCTGGCCTTGGCTGTGCTGGCCATACCCTCAGCAGGACTCCCCAGGTCTGGACAGAGACTCGGAGCCAGAGCTGGATCCCAGGCTGGGGAGGAGCCCTGGGCCTGACTCAGCCCAGCCTTGCTGTGTGACCCTGGCCTGGCCCTGCCTGTCTCTGGGCCCCTTGGCCCTGGAATCCCTCTGGCTGTGTGCCCAGTCAGGTGTGTGGGAGAAGGTCCATGGTTGGAATGCCAGTCCTGTCGGCCACCATGAACCCCTTCCCTTGCCTGGGCTTTCCTGGGAGGGAGGGGCAGGGGGAGCTGGCTCTGTCCGGGAACCTGCCTGACCTGTCTAGGTGGCATTCTGGTGCACACAACGCCAGGCCTCCACAGACAGCCTCCGCGAGCTCATAGAATGCCATAGCCTCGGAGGGCATGTGATAGCCCAAGGCTCAACCCTAATAAGGAAGTATTGACTGAGCTAAGGTTGGGCAAGGCTGTGTGGTCCAGCACACCCAAGGGTGGACAGGTTGCTGCCCTGGCAGACGTCACCTCTGCCCAAGTCGTGAGCCCAAGCCCATCCCCTGTCCTCTTCACCCTTCCTGGGCCTCCCTGGCTGGGCCTGAGCAAATCAGCCTGCTCGGGGCCTGGGGCCGGTCCCTCCAGCCTCCTGAGTCTGGCACATACACTGACCAGCTCTTACAGATGGGAAGCTGGACTTCAAGCCAGACAGGGGCGTGGGACGGGGCAGGCTGCTGAGCTGGTGGGGAAAATGCCGGGAGATCCCAGCTCCCCCCAGTCCCCTCCCTCTGTGGCCCTTGAGTCATTTGGGACTTGGCCTGAGCTTCATCCCCTCCTGGGTCCCAGCCTTACGGACTCATCCGGAGCCTCTGCTCTGCTCCACACCTCCTCCATTCAGTACCCGCAGAGTGTGGTCAGGGCCAGCCCAGCCTCCCAGGGAGAAAGTGTGAGGGGCACCTGGCCCTGGGCAAAGGGTGAGGCTCTGAGTTCCCGGGTCCCTGCCTAGGTTATGTCCGAGGCTGGCTTCTTGGCTCAGGACAGAAAAGTCAGGGCAGTCCCCACTCATCTCTGGCGGCCTGGCTGGAGGCAGACACATCACAGGCATTGTCTTATTGGACTCTTCCAATAGTCCTACCAAAAAAACCAAACCAAACCAGTGGCTGCTGAGTTGATTTCAACTCATGGCTACCCCATGTGTGTCAGAGTAGAACTGTACTCCATAGGGTTTTCAGTGGCCTATTTTTCAGAAACAGATTGCCAGGCCTTTCTTCTGAGGGGCCTCTGGGTGGACTTGAACCACCAACCTTTTGGTTGGCAGCCAAGTGCAATCATTCTAGAGGCTCCCTTTTATTAGGTGTACTTTCTGGATGAAGAGTCAGAGATCCAGAGTGGGGAAGTGACTTGCTTCAGGTCTCATGATGAGAGAATAGCAGATCTGGAGTTGGGATCCAGGATCCTGCAAACGCTGGCATCCTGGTGTTCTCAGGGTGGGGCCTCTGGGCCATGGCGAGAGTTCCCAGCACTCTAGTGCTGACCCCTCTAGTACTTACCCCCTGGCAAGCCAGACCTCTGGGGTGGCTCCCCAAAATGTCCTCACCCCTTCGGTCATCTAAGTCAAGAAGCCAGTCCAGCTAGACCAGGATGTGACTCAGTTGGCAACCAGGCAAGTTACCTAATTGGCCTGTGCCACAGACATCTGTCTCTTCCCCAAGCCCTGATAAGGTCAGAGCCAGGTGGAGGGTGCCAGTCCAGTGTTGGTGCTTGCCCGGATCAAAGGGCCAGGGCTGAGAGCAGAGTCGCCTGCCTATTTGTGGGCACTGGGGGCTGCTGGGCCAGGAGACAGGCTGGGGGTGGCTGAGGGTTAGGCCTGGGCCTGCCCCAGTTCTTTCCCCTTGGGACCGGAGCATGAAAGTTGGCTTGGGAAGAGCCCACTTTCAGCAGCCACCTTGCAGTTGCTGCCAGCCCTCTGGCCTGCCAGCTCAGTGCTGGCCATGCTACCCAGCAGCAGCCATAGTGCAGCCTCTTTGAAAGCCCACAGCAGCGCTACAGCTCGTGTGTCTTGCTGTTTTGGGCAATCTGGAGTCCCTGTAGCCCTTACATAAAGGGGCATTTTCTGCTGTACCTACTGTGCACCAGGCCCTGTGCTGAGCCTGCCACAGACTCAGTCCTTGCCCTCTCTGTTGATGGGAACTAGACAAATTGCCATCCATTCACCAGCCAGGGACGGGGGGACTGTGGGAGCCCAGGGGCATGGTAGTGAGTGTGCCCCTGGCAGGTAGAGAAGCCTTCCTCAAGGAGGGGACATGTGACTGGGGCTTTGAAGGATGAGTTTGTTCGGGGGAAAGGACTTCCAGTTGGTTTGTCAGATTGAGAGCAGATGTGAGAAGCCTTCTTTTCCCCCTCCAAACTGGTGGAGAAGCTGGATAAAATATGCCAAGAAAACATATTTAAATTGCATAGCTGAGCTTGAAAGCTAAAGCTAGCAGGGAAATTTCCAGGTGCCAGAAATAAAGAGTTGAACTCAGAAGCTGGATTGGGAGCAGAAACTGAAGCCAAGCAATGTAGAGAGTTTGGGGCCAGATGTTAGTCTTAGAAGCTTGTTACAATTTTTTTTAATATAAACATTTTCATCATGAAAAAATTTAAGCATAAACATTTTCATCATGAAAAAATTTAAGCATAAACATTTTCATCATGAAAAAATTTAAGCATACATAAAAAGTAAAGAGAACAGTACAATGAGCCCCCATCTACCCATTACCCAGATTCATCAAATTGTCAATAGGCTGGCCCAGTTTCCAGGCTCAGGTTCCTTTGCTCTGAGGACAGGGCAGTGCAGGCATGGGTTCTGTTGTTACATGGGTGACTCAGTTTTCACCCAGAGCCCAGGGCAGGCTCCCTCATTCCGAGCCCTGCCCTGGGTTGGTGGGCAGTTTATCAGCAGAGTCCTCTTTAGTGATGGGTTTGTTCCTCTTGGCTCCAGCTCTATGTAGAGAACGTAGTTCCAGCCCTGCCCTGTGCAGGCCTGGCACTTCCACTCGCTCCCCAGGTTGGCCTGATGTGTCCAGGGGCCCCAGCAGAGGCAAATCCGAAACTGCCCTTTAGGGAAGCCTGTGTGACCCACGCCTAGTGTGGGACACAGATGACAATTCTTGCTGAAGGCAAACTCGAATTCAAAGTTAACAAAACATAGGGTGTTGGTTGCACAACATGGTGAATGCAATCAGTGTCACTGAATTGTACACTTAAAGATGGTTAAAATGGTAAGTTTTTGTTGTATATATTTTACCAAAAAAAAAAAAAAAAATTAACATAGTACACGAGGAAGCCCGTCTTTGAGAGAGAGAGTCAGCAGGCCTACAAATTGGGACAATTGGCTCCTGAAAAACTGTAGAGAACAGAGTCATCTTAAAGACACTTTAAAATTAAGTATGCTTAATTTCCAAAGCTCTTAAAGAAAGAGTAGAATTCATCAAACAGGAATAGCACATTATGAAAAAAGAATGGGTAGATGTTTAAAAGACCGAGATTTAAAATTCTAGAAGTGAAAAAGGTCATGATGAAAATAAAAATATAATAATTAGATGAGTTAGTGAGCAGGCTAGACCTAGCTGAAGAGAAAATGAGTGAATTAGAAGATGGATCCAAGGAAATCACAAATGCAGCACCGGGATGGGCGGGGAGAGCATCCCAGGAAGAGGGAGGAGTGAGAGCCAAGGTTGTTTGTGATACTGTCTGGCTTTAGTGACCTGCGGTTCCTCTGCTGGGCTGGAGCATGGGGGAGAATGGATGAGGAAGAGGATGGACAATAGGTGAGGCATGATTGTGAAAGGCTCAAAGGTTGGGATAAAGCATCTGGATTTTGTCTTGGGCAATGTGGAGCCAGAGAAAGTTTTGGAGCAGGACAGGGGCTTGTAAGATGTGCACATCATGATGTTCACCTGGGGGCCAAGTGCGGGAATGGACAGCAGGAGAGGCTGGAAGGCAGCTCAAGGCTGGGGTTCATGGGATCATTACAAGGAAGTGCCATGATGGGGGGTGGAGAATGGGGGGAGAGCAGGGACGGAGAAAGAGCCAGCTCAGACTGAAACCAGACGGCGCCTCTGCTTCCGGGCTCAGTCTTCTCTGGCCCTTGGTCCCCTCCCCCTCCAGCCAGCCCAGCACCATCCTTCCACTTTGGCCCAGACTCTGTTCTGGAGGCAAAGCGGGGCAGCCTTGTGGGTATTCCTCTGGGGCCTCCTGCCAGAAGGGAGGCCCCAAGAGCCTCACTCTCTCTGAGGCCTGGGGGACCAGGCACAGGTTTTTATCCTGAGCGGGGTATAAAGGAGAAGGTTGTCGTCATTTTTGCCTCAGGA